CTCCTATTTTATTAGCGTTTTTTACACCCCACCCTCTCTTTTTTCACACACACACACACACACACACACACACACACACACACACACACACACACACACACACACACACACACACATACACACACATCAATATCATATCCATCCACCTATCCATTCACACCACCCCCCCCCCTCTTAACACACACACACTCACTCACGCCATGTAAACATTTACATTGCCAACAGTGCTTTTTTCAGAGAGTGAACCACTATTTTTACAAGGATAGTCGTTTTTATTAAAGTCATTAACAAGCTTACCCTTTCTAAGTCGATAATGTCATTTGCATCATGAATTCTTATGAATGAAACCACAATGCTAAATTTCCCCTCTATCTCTTTCAGAGCGTGAGCCTGATCAGTGAGCTAACCACAAAACCCTACTCCCACGTTCAACGTCGCGGCCAACGCCACACGACGAGTGGTCGCAACAAACAGGCGTCGGTGGCACCATGATGACCAGAGACGATACGAAGCGAAGACCGTCCTTCCACCACGGAGATATATAAACAGACGGACACACAGCAGCGTATCAGAGGCACGCAAAACAGACAAGAGCGACCTCGGGCTTCACATGCCCTATCGTGAATTGCTACAAAGGTGTATACATATAATCATACACACCAAAAAAAAACTTATTCATCATGAGAACTCTTTAAAAAGTATATCAACAACGCTCTCAAACGCAACAAAAGCGACCAAAAAAAAAAACCCCGAAAGACTCTACTCAATAATCGTTTCCTTGAACTTTTGTCATGATGTCACATTTCGACCTCTTCCACCCGGAAGGCGGCTCGAGCTTCCGAAACTCCTCGCGCTACGGAATGATGAACGTCAACGCAACCGCGGCGCTCGGCGCCAGTCCCGACGGCAGCGGCGGGATGATTTCCAACGCCGGCGGCAGCGGCGGAACTAACGTCGGCGTCGGCGATAATGGGGATTCTTCTTCCCCATGCCACGACATCCACTGCTACCCGGACGCCGTGTTCCTGACAGCTACGGCGGTTACCGTCGTCTTGGCAATTTGCGGAGCCGTGGGGAACATTTTAACTGTCCTGGCCATTATCAGTAGCCGGCTGCGAAACAATATAAACAGCATCCTTATCTGTAACCTCAGCTTCGCCGACGCCGTCTACTGTGCTGTTGTGCTGCCCCTACAGGTGGGTCATTGTTTGCTTGCTTGTTTGTTTGTTTGAATAAAGAGAGGCAAATCTACACAAGGATGGTCATTTAGTGCAGGTAAAAAGTAAGACGGGCAGACAGAACAACAGAGGGAAATCAAACCACCCGCCACGTGGGTCACTTATTTTTATTATATTTTTTCGGAGGGGGGGGGGGGGGAGAAAGAAGAAGCACATCGGGACAATAATAGTCACTTAGTGCTGGGTGAGAAGTAAGACAGACGCATAGAGGACCTACATCTAATAGGGAAAGTAGAGAAGAAGAACTACTAGTGGCGAACCTCAACCACGCGCACGGTCACTGATGGACCGGGCAAAGGGTATAATTATTTCTCCAAAAGTTGACTGTGGTGGTTTTGTCTCTTTCATACTTTTTTTCTAGCCACTTGTTTTTGTTTTGTTGGCGGTGGTGTTTCTGGCTTCAATTGCTGCAGTTTGGGAAAATCAGTGTTTGGAAGTTTGACGCTACAAGATAATAAATGCGTTTTTAGAAATGCTTGTTCGTTGAAGTTTTGTTTGAATGCAATGATCTCTCAGACTCTTAGTATAAACTGCTTTTTTTCCAACATGTACATCATTATGATCTTCACTCCTAAATTGTTATTATATAAATATTTCCTTTTTCTTCTTCTTTTTCTTCTTCTTTTTCTTCTTCTTCTTCTTCTTCTTCTTCTTCTTCTTCTTCTTCTTCTTCTTCTTTTTTTTTTTTCTTTTCTTCTTCTTCTTCTTCTTGGCAAACTATTACCGCTACAGTACTGACCAAAACTTAACATCTAAATATCATTTGCATCAACAGGCGAAGGCGTTCTACGACAAGGCCTGGACAATGGACCACATTCTATGCGAGTTACACGCCGCCCTCCGTATCTGGCTCATCGGCGTCAACATCTTACTGCTCAGCTTCATCGCGCTCTACCGCTTCCTGCACGTCGTGAGGCCGCAGCAGCACACGCGCTTCTCCCAGGGCGCCTGGTTCATCGGCGCTGTGATCATCTGCTGGGCGCTACCAATGTTCTTCTCCTTCACCCCGCTCGTCGGCTGGTGGGGGACATTCGCCTTCCAGTCCCGAATTCTCCAGTGTACCTTCAGCGGAGACAGCAGCAGGTCGCACAAGATCACCACAGTGACGCTAGGCTACGTGGTGCCCTGCCTCTTTCTCTGCGTGTGTTACGCTCGGATAGGCTGCGTGGTATTCCGCTCTCGGAAACGCGCTACCCGCGGCGGTAGCGTCTACCGGAAACAGCGGGCGCGGCGGGACTCCTTCCGGCTCACGGGCATGATGGTGCTCATCTTTCTGGGGTTCCTCGTGGGCACGACGCCTTTCTTCCTCATCAACACGCTGGATTCGAAGCTGCGCTACCCCATGCCCCACATCTGGTCGCCAGTGCTAGCCTGGGTCATGTACGGACTCAACCCGATCATCTACACAGTCATGGACGCTCAGTTCCAGCAGGCGTACCGCAGGCTTCTGCTCTGCACGTTTTACAAGCCTGAGCCCGTCGTGGAGACGAGCTTCCAAGAGAGGCAGAGCTCTCTCCTCGCCGCAAAAACAGAGAACATCAATGCTACGTAAAAGAACTACTTTATATCTCACGTTAATGACAATATTTCCCCATTCCTCTCTTTGCTGGTGCAAAATGCAAAGAAAGGAGGAATAAGACTTTGTTGACTCAAAATACCCATATCACCTCTTCCGTGCTTTCCTATATTTAAAGACAGAGAAGATCAAGGATTGAACTGACTAGTCTTGATATGTTACAAAGCCAGCAGCTCAGATATATGAACAAACAGATACAAACAGCAAAGGAACAGTAACTCAAGAACTAATTAAGTCTCCTCTTTACAAATAATACTATCAAGTTACGGAAAATACAACTACAGAAAACAAAAATTGTTCAATTGCACGACATAACTTCATCGCCCTGCTTGGATAAAGTCCCCAGTTTTCTTCGATATTTAAAAGACATAGGGAGCAAACTTATCGAGTGACCCATCTGAAACGTGTGCTCTTTTTATTTCTTCACTTTCAGAAACTTTCTAATATTGAAGAAATCCCATGCCGTAACACAGAACGCCAATTCTGCGTCGCTTTTGCTCGTTTTGTTGTGCGGGCAACATAGGCAACGAAAACAACTCAATCACAATCAGCTTATAATGAACATAGCAAACGAAGCGACAATCAGCTCACCTCGTTATCACCTCAAAATTTGCTTTCTGTGGCTCGTTTTAAAGCCACCAGTTTCCTTGATACTATCAGCAGATTACAGGATTATACAACGACTGCTGGCGCAACCACAACGCATATGGTGAATTACATTCTACATGAACCTACATGAAACTTGCCAAAATTACAACATTCAATAAATAACTCCCTCATTACTTTGCCAAAACTGCGTGAAGGAATACCAGTCAGATCTGCATGATGGACACCAATCGATCAGACGGCTAAGATCTTGATGTCTCGGTGAACGGAAGAATGGGCTAAGGAAAATCGGAGCGGCCACAGCACATCCATTATTTAAGGTTATATATAACAAAGAAAACCCCTACAAGATGACAGAAGAAAACAAACCCATCGACGAAAGCGCCAAACCGCGAAGCATCGCTACAACAACACACCCAGAAATAAAAAATACGAAAAAGGAAGCAGAGAGAGAGCAGTGTTAGCGAAAACGTCAATCAAAAAATGCATTGAATAAAAGCTAAGCGCTAATGTACTCTTCTCTCAAATAAAAAAGACAATGCTCTCAGATTTATGATCCTAAATAAAACGTTGCCGTCATCTGCTGATGAACTTCCGCACCTGTGTGTGATTAACACATTGTCCACTGACGGCAAATGGTTTTCTTGCGTTCGTGCTCTCAGGCAACATGAATGTACAAAGACAGCCTCTGCTCCTGCATACATTCCAGGGCCAGGCGCGGGCGTAAAAACACGATACGAAAGTTCTGAGTTCTACATTGGACAAGAGTTCTGGCACGGTGCCTCGTTGTCCTCTCACTTACGTTTGCGATCTGCCATTGAATGGTCGAGTGGCAAGGGGAATAAAACGTTCATGCGCATTGCCCACTAATGCAACCACTTGTTGTCTTTACGATGTAAGTGTACTCAGTAGCTCTTAAAACAGGGTACGCGTGCACACTTGAGGAAAACTCACGCTGAGCTCTAGCTTACCGCGAATCAGCATGATTACGGCCAGATTTTGCCAGGAACAGTTAAGTAACACTCAAAGGGAGAAGAAGGAGGGCGCATCAATAACTTGAGGAAAAAAGTAAAATGTCGAGACACTTTTCGGCACGGGGATGTACTGAGAGCAGCGAGCGATTTCTTGTTAGCAACAAGAACATGTTGCATTATGACGCTGCGCCAGCAAGTCGAAGCTTTCGAGCACGGAAAAGTCTCATGGTAAATCCTCACAAATAAAAGGTGAGATGCATCCAACTTCCTTCCAGGACTTAGACCTAAGACACTCGTCGAAATAAAACGCAGTAAAACGTGAGACGAGAAAAATAAAAGTCTCGATGAACGAGAGAGAGAGATTCTACGTGGAACCTGGATTTGCAACACAGACCAGGAAATGAGAGACTGGGAAACTTAAGCGTAGAATAATAAAATCCACGGTGGAAGAGAAAGACCTACCACGTTCAACCAGGTCTTATGACTGGCAAGAAGACTACGAGAGAAATGAACATCAAGAAAACTCACGACAAAGCCATTCACGTCCAAGGAGGCAGAAACGTAACTGTCTTTAAAAGCGAGAGACACTTACAGCCTGTCAAACTAAATCAATAACCCAACATACGGGTAGACGGTGTGAAGTTCCAACAGACGTATGTGTGTGTGCGTTTGTGTGTGTGTGTGTGTGTGTGTGTGTGCGCGTGAGAGAGAGAGAGAGAGGGAGGGAGGGAGGGAGAGAGAGAGGGGGGTGAGAGCGGGAAAGAAAGAAAGGGAGAGAGAGAGAGAGAGAGAGAGAGAGAGAGAGAGAGAGAGAGAGAGAGAGAGAGAGAAATATTATTATTATAGGGGGGGAGGGTAGAAAGAGATGAGGATTCCTAGCACAAATATTCATGTATCCGTTCTGCTAAGTCACCGTGCACATAATCACACTATTCATATGGCCATGCTATTTTCAACAACAAATATCAGCCAAGGGGAAAAGAGATGACAAATTTGTGCCACTATTCAAAGCTATAATTGGTTGTTTCGAGTTGCATTTATGTTGATCAACGTGTTTTGCAATACAAGTCATAACTACCTGAAGTAAAGCGTTACCACAATGCTAAATCAAAGGTGGCATAAACGAGTAAGATGTGTGCATTGTGCCAAAATAAGGACAATGTTTAACATGCGTGACAATAATAATATGTAGACACATTCATGTACAAGTATTGCAATATGCATTTATGAGAGTTCATCTGGACTTGGGGGCTTTCAGGTGTATATTTTGTGATGATGACTGTTATGTTGCTTGTATATTATATATTATAAAGATATACATTGCTGAATTATTCAGATACGTGCATTCGTTTGTGATAAGACGTTACTATATATGGCCGCACTTTTGCATTTATTCATGCTCTAATGAACTGCTCATACAGAAATTCACTTTGTTTGTTGGGTGTCCATTGTTTGTGGCATTAAATGATTAAAATATAAACATAAACACTATTCTTTCAATCTGAAGTCTTTTTGTCGACGTCGATATTGTACGTACAGTTGTTATCAGTTTCAGCGTTCTGTTAGATTTTCTTTAAAAATCTTATTGAAGGGTACACGGGGATTGCAGAGCAGAGCTTCGCCCTCGCAAGCAGAAGACAGGAGTTCGCTTCCTGCGTGGGGAGGGACTTTTTATCTATCAGGTTTTTCCGTCAGTTTGCTGGGAAGTCGAATAGTTTTTAAGCCCGGGCCGGCCTTGGAATGTCGCAGCAGCCTGTAACCTAAATGATCTAAAATGTGTTGATGGAGGAGCCCGACGTTGTGTCCTTACGCCTTCGCAAAATCACTTTACACGAATTTTCCTCACTTCACCCAGGTGGGAATGGGTACCCGGCCATAGACAGCGAAAGATCTTGTCAGTATGTTTTTATTTTAGCGCCCATAAATGGCCGGTTGCACGGTATGCTTCCCAGAAAGTTGAGGTTGTTTCAGAATGCTATCAGGTCTGCCGGGGTAATAGTATAGATTGTGAAGCGCACAGAGCTTGCTGGTGAGCGGGAATTTGCGCTATACAAATGATATCTATCTATCTATCTATCTATTATTATTATTATTATTATTATTATTATTATTATTATTATTATTATTATTATTATTATTAAATCTACATATCGTAAAAAAGGGGTGGGGTGTGGGGGGGGGGGGGGGGACTAGCACTGCTGTAATTCAAGATTATACGTTTTCCTTGACAGCAAAGTAGTTCCACCATAATAAGATCAGTCCTGTCCAATCCAATAATGTTTGTTACTTAACTAATTAATATCGTACCTTTCAAGGATAACAACATAATGATGCCAAATGAACGGCTAATAGCAATTCCAAAAGGCCCAGTGCATCCTTTGCTCGTTAGGGTCATGCGACGCTCATTAGCTGCAAACAAGATAAGCACCCCATCGAAATTGTAAGGACAAGAGCTCAAATCAGCCAACGGAGTAAATACAGAAACTGCGCAGATTTTACATTAACTTCGTATGCTTTGCCACGAAAATTGCCTCTTCGACAAACACAATCTCAAGGACAATAAGTCCCATGTTCCGAGACACAACTTTGCATGCTACTGTTTGAAGAGTCCGTTTGGCGGGTGGCGGGAGGGTGTCAGTGGCAGGTCCTATTTCTTTTGTCTTCCTCTGTTTTTTTTCCCCTCAGTTTGTGTTGCTTTTTCCATGCTTTAAATCGCTGTTGTCGAGTTGTTGTGTTTCTTTTTACTCAAAAGTCAACGTGCTGCTTCTTGTAAAGCACAGGGTAATTAATAGACATCACAAATCGACACAATTTAGATCATAATTTAGGAGGCGGACTTGTCTGTAAGGACTAACCCGGGCAGAGAGGGATACAACATTACATCAGAAAGACCGAGACGCCCGATAGAAATTTCTCCACAAGCTGTGGTCGATCTCGAGTTTCCTGTGTGCGACAGCGAAGCGCCTAACCGCTACACCACAACGCCGGTCGAAAAGGCTTGAAGGTCACACTTTGGTACAGGAGAGATGGAGACAAGGTGGAAACGTGAATTCATCTACAACATATTATGGGTTCCCTCTAAACGTTTCCTTGTTCTGCCACTCCATAAATTCAGTCTTCACGTTCACACCTTTCAACCACATGAGCGACGACTCGTACCCAGCGAATTATGAAGATAGTAATAACTGGATTTTTTTCGGCAGGTGGGGGGG